GACATTGCTGAGCTCCTCGTGGAACAACGAGCGGTGAGGGCTCGGGCTCAAACTGGAGTAAGGAATTGTGAGCACTGGGGGGGACCTGAGGAGGCCCAATCCTGCGCAGGGTTTACTCCCAGGGCTTAAATTAATGTTGTCTGGTGACATCAGGGGGTTTTTTGGGGTTTTTGGGGGGTTTTTTTGGTCTGGTTTCCCAAGGAAATGAGCTGTGTGAGATTGTAGCCTCTGCGTACGTGTGTGTTGCTCTTCCCCACTCATCCCAGAATGGTGGGGTTGGAAGGGACCTCAGGAGATCATCCAGTCCAACCCAACTGCCAAAGCAGGGTCCCATCACACAGGAAGGTGTCCAGGTGGGTTTTGAATGTCTCCAGAGAAGGAGACTCCACACCCCCCCTGGGCAGCCTGTTCCAGTGTCCTGTCACTCTCACAGTGAAAAAGTTTTTCCTCATGTTTACATGGAACCTCCTGTGCTCCAGCTTGCACCCATTGCTCCTTGTCCTACCGTTGGACATCCCTGAGAAGAGCCTGGCTCCATCCTCCTGACATTCGCCCTTTACATATTTATAAACATTAATGAGGTCACCCCTCAGTCTCCTCTTCTCCAAGCTAAAGAGCCCCAGCTCCCTCAGCCTTTCCTCAGCAGGGAGATGCTCCACTCCCTTCATCATCTTGGTGGCTCTGTGCTGGACTCTCTCCAGCAGTTCCCTGTCCTTCCTGAACTGTGGGGCCCAGAACTGGACACAATATTCCAGATGTGGCCTCACCAGGGCAGAGTATAGGGGGAGGAGAACCTCTCTCAACCTTCTAACCACACCTCTTCTAATACACCTACTTCTTGAACCCCTGTCTAAGTTCAGCCAGATTTCACAGAGATCCTAAATGCCTCAAAATAATTTTAATTTTTTTTTTACATATATTAAAAAAGGATGGTTGATAAGTGGGAGAAAATGCCAGTACTTCCTGTTGAGAGAAAAGCTTGTGTGTGTCTGCACGCGTGCACAACCACGTTAGACACTGGAGAATCCCCGTGGAAGAGATGTATTTTGAGCATCCAGATCGTAGGCTGGATGTAACTGGAAGCCATGAGACGTGGAGCTGTGGGAAAACCAGCTCCATCCATCGTCTTGTGCACGGGGTGAAGTCTTTCCTCCTGTTTCTGGTTTCCACCATGGTTTTTTGCCCATCATTTGTGATGGTTGTGGTGAGGACCAGCCTGTGGAGGATCTATCAGCTGGTATTTCTCCATCAACCATTTTAGGAATCAGTGATTCTGGATGAAATTATCATCAGAATTCTGATGATGATGAGTCTTCTGGTCAGCACAGGAGACCTGTGGTGTCTATTTTTTTGTAGGCAGAAGCTGGTTACTAGAGAAGGCAAAGAGTAGGATGTTGGAACTGTTGTAGAAATCTCTGCCTACTCTCTTTTTGTAGGTTTTCTCCAAAATCTTCAGCCATGAAGCACTGGAGAGTTATCTCCCCAAGATCCAGCTGGTGATCAAAGACACCCTGCGAGCCTGGAGCAGCAACCCTGAGTCCATCAATGTCTACCATGAGACCCAGAAGCTCACCTTCCGCATGGCCATCCGTGTCCTGCTGGGCTTCCGCATCCCCGATGAGGAACTCAACCGCCTCTTCGAAGTCTACCAGCAGTTTGTAGAGAATGTCTTCTCCTTGCCTGTGGATCTGCCATTCAGTGGCTACAGGAGGGTAAGAGATTTAAGATGAACCCTCCACAACCAAATACACTCAATTATTGGGATTAATGGGATGGTGGCTAATCCCCACCTCTACAGGTTCTCACTGGGATGTCTTCTCACCCTAAGACCTCTAGAATTGAGTCCATTTTTGGGCTACAAAGTCCTATTTTGGTAGAATGGAGAGGGAGATCCATGTTTTAGAGTGGTGGGGACTGTGTGGTTCGATACAAGGGACAATAGAGTCAGGATTTGCCCAGATTTAACGGGTAATTTTTCCTCCCTTGTAACTGGTAGTTTGACTGTATTTTGTTGTTGTTGTTGTTGTTGTTGTTGTTGTTGTTTGTGGGACCCTTCTCCTGTTAATTCCCTCCTGTCCCCAGGGTGAAACAAGTCAGTGGAGCTTCTACTTCCAAAAAACTATTCTAGTTTTGTTGATAAATGATGCAAAAGGAAAACCAGAGGCAAAAAATTGGATTTTTTTTTTTTTCCATAGGGAATTTTGAAAAAAAAATTTTAAAAAATTAAAAATACGGGGGTTTAAAATTTATTTTTGTGATTATCACTGCTAATTTTTTTTAATTATTATTCGATTGTGTCAATGAACTGGAGCATTTGCAGCCCCGAAGCACTCGCAGCAGCAGGTTAACCCAGTGCAGCTGCACTCGAATTGGAATGACTTTACTGAGACCAGGTGATAAAATGACTCGGGAAGCCCATTATGCTCCTGGGAAGAGGATCCTTTTGGAGGAATTGATTTTCCTTTGAGGGACAATTTTCCCAGGGACTATCATACATCCCAGGCTGAGCTGGAGGCCTGTGAACTACTGCACTACTGGGGCTCCCACATCAAACCTCTCATTTACACGTAGGTGTTGATTACTCTTGCTTTGTAATCTCACCCACTCGGGGTTTACTCCTCCTGCTCAGGGAACAACTTCAACATCTTTATTCTTCTCTTTGACCACCTGCAATTGCAGTTGTATTACTTAGATATGTTGTCCTGAGCACGTCTCCAACTCCTATGGATGCTGGGTGTCCTGGTTTGGGTGTCCTGCCCAAACCACCACACTGAGCTAGGGATGATGGTCCTAGTGTTGTGTTTTGAATGGTCTGATGGTTTCCTGCTCCACAGGGCATCCGGGCACGTGAGACACTGCAGAAAGGGTTGGAGAAAGCCATCCAGGAGAAACTGCAGAACACTCAGGGCAAGGACTATGCTGATGCTCTGGACATCCTGATAGAGAGCGGCAAAGAACATGGCAAGGAGCTCACCATGCAGGAGCTGAAGGTAAAGATCTTCTTGATGGTCACCTTGACCTTGTGGTGCTCGGGGCAGGGGCTCCTAGAGGAGCAAAGTGTGACCTGCTGTAAAGGAGGATTTTTTAGGGTAAACCTGAGATGGTCAGTGAGAGCTGTGGGACCGTAATGTGTTGTTGGAGATGCAGGTGAATCCTGGTCTGTTGGATTATGGTGCCAACAAGCCAACTGCTTTCCTGTGAGATATATTTCTTTTCAGATCACACTCAGACCTTTCTAAAAAAGCATTTCCAGGGAATAAAAAACAAGCAGTTCTAGCACTCAGGGGTATAGTTTAGTGGGCATGGTGGTGATGAGTTGATGGTTGGACTTGATGATCTTAGAGGTCTTTTCCAACCTTAATGATTCTGTGAATACCAAAAGACCTTACAAGTTTGCTGAAGCTTTCAGCCTTGACCAGCTTCATCCCTTGACCCGTTCAGTTTTATGGTGCCTCCTTTGCAGGGCACATGAGCCCTTGGCAGGTTGTTATCTGCAGCAGGGTCGTGGCATAACATGTCCTTCACGTGCTGTCAGGAGTCATCCCCAGGGTTTTTTCTCCTGCCTGTCTGGTCCTCAGCATCATTCAAGGCTCTATGGGAAGCTCCCTGTGGTGAGTGTGCAAGACCTGTGTCTGCACAAGGAGAGACCTTGCAGTTATCATAGAATGGTTTGGATTGGAAAGAACCTTAAAGATCATCTAGTTCCAAGCCCCCTGCCAGCAGCAGGGACACCTTCCACTAGATCAGGTTGCTCAAAGCCTCATCCAGCCTGGCCTTAAACTCTTCCAGGGAGGGGACATCTACAACTTCCTTGGGCAACCTAGTTAGACATAGAATCATAGAATCATTAAGGTTGGAAAAGACCTCCAAGATTATCAAGTCCAACTGTAAACCCAACACCAGCATGCCCACTAAACCATGTCCTGAAGTGCCATGTCTACACGTTTTTTGAAGACCTCCAGGGATGGTGTCTCCACCACTTCCCTGGGCAGCCTGTTCGGATGCTTGACCACTCTTTCAGTGAAGAATTTTTTCTTCATATCCAATCTGAACCTCCTAAGGAGGAACCTGAGGCTGTTTCCTCTTGTCCTCTCACTTGGTCCTTGGTTGAACAGACCCACCCTCACCTCTCTCCACCCTCCTCCAAGGACTTGGACAGAGCCACAAGGTCTCCCCTCAGCCTCCATTTCTCCAGACTCAAAAACCAAAGTTCCCTTCTCATAAGACAAATTCTCCAGAGTAGCTTTGTTGCCCTTCTTTGGACACACTCTCCAGGCTGGAGAGCTGTTGAGGAAACAATGCTCCATGGCAGCCCACAGGCCTGTCCCTTGATGTTCTGTGGCTGCTGGCCAGTCTGTCTGTCCATCTCCTGTGTCTTACCCTGGCTTTGCTCTTTTCTTTCAGGATGGCACCCTGGAGCTCATCTTCGCTGCCTATGCCACCACCGCCAGCGCCAGCACCTCTCTGATCATGCAGCTCCTCAAACACCCCCGGGTCCTGGAGAAGCTTCGAGAAGAGTTGCGCAGCAAAGGCATCCTCCACAATGGCTGCATCTGCGAGGGCTCCCTCCGACTTGACAACATCAACAGCCTCCACTACCTGGACTGCGTCATCAAGGAGGTGCTTCGCCTCTTCACCCCCATCTCCGGGGGGTACCGGACAGTGCTGCAAACCTTTGAGCTGGATGTGAGTATTCATAGAATCATTGAGTGTTGTGAGTTGGAAGGGACCCACCAGGATGATGGAGTCCAACTCCTGTCCCTGCACAGGACAATCCCAACATTCACACCATGTCCCTGAGGGCCTTGGCCAGATGCTGCTGGAATCTTGTCAGCCTTGGTGCCATGAGCACCTCCCTGGGGAGCCTGTTCCAATGCTCCACCACCCTCTGCCTCAAGAACCTTTTCCTCATGGCCAACCTCACCCTCCCCTGCCACATCTTCCTGCCATTTCCTCTGCTCCTGGCATTCGTTGGTGGCCAGAGAGAAGAGATCAGCGTCTGACCCTCCCCTTCCCCTTGGGAGGAAGTTCTAGACCCCCAGGAGATCTCCTCTCAGTCTCCTCTTCTCCGAGCTGAACAGACCAAGTGGCTTCAGCCTCTCCTCATACCCTTCCCCTCTAAACCCTTCCCCAATGTTGTGTCCCTCCTCTGGACACTCTCCAGGAGCTTTAGATCCTTTTTATACTGTGGTGCCCAAAACTAATTTTTTTGTTTGGTTGAGTGGGTTTTTTTTGTTGTTTGTTGCCATCTCTCCAGGGTGTGGTTCCCCCATGAGCTCTCCAAAACAGCCTTTTGCATGTTGTTGCAAAGGTTGCTTGAGCCTGGCTTAGCTGAGACCTCAAGGAGGACCAATTAGGTCCTGCTGGTGATGAGAGTTGGAATTACTCCAGATTCAGAGGAGGGTGATGAGATCTGGCCCATGGCAGGGAAGGGATACACTTGAGCTGTCAAAGAGGAGACAGGCGTGATGCTTCAAAGAGCAACTCGTGACAATGTTTGATGCCAAAATCTGAACTGGGGTGTGACAAGGGAAAGGTTGACTGCAAAGGGCATCTCCAGGCTGCTGGATGACGGGTGGATTACTCACCGCAATGGTTGGAATTTCCTACTAGCAAAACAAAATCTTGAGAACCTGGCTTGTCACTGTAAATCCTGCTCATGTCATGATTGGAGTCGGAAACCTTTTCAAGTGCTCAGGGGATGATAAATCCACCCCGTTTCTCATCATCCAGGCCCTGACATGTGTGTTGGGTGTGTGGGGCTGATGGTGGGGTGTGAGCAGAACCATGGGATGCTCTGGGGAGGGTTGGCTGGGGCACAGGCATGAGAAAAGCTTCTTCTCTTTGGCCGGCGGCAGATGAGCACCGTGGGGTTCCTTGTAGGCAACTCCTGCCAGCGACCACAAAGCAAATAAATAGCAACGGATGATCCATCAGGTCTCTGGGATAGAAGAAGGAATAAACCCAGGATTCCCATCTCCCAGCTTTTTGCTCTGCACACTCTGGTTTTCTTTTAAATCTGCCTCACGCTCGAGTAGTAAATCCAAAGAAAATGGGGAAAAAGCAGAAAAAGCAAAATGGCTTTGTTGTAGAATCATAGAATGGTTTGGGTTGGAAGGGGCCTTCAAGCTCATCCAGTTCCAGCCCCCCTGCCAGCAGCAGGGACACCTTCCACTAGACCAGGTTGCTCAAAGCCTCATCCAACCTGGCCGAGAACACTTCCAGGGAGGAGCAGTCTGCCCAACCTGGGACACTGTCTCACCACCCTCACACCAAACAACTTCTTCTTCACATCTCATCTCAATCTCCCCTCATCTTGTTCTCCCTCTCCCTTTGCAGTAGTGTTGACCTCTCTGTTGTTTTTTTTCTGTCTTCTGTCTTCTCTGCAGGGTTTCCAAATCCCCAAAGGTTGGAGTGTGATGTACAGCATCCGGGACACCCATGACACTGCCCCTGTCTTCAAGGACGTGGACGTCTTTGACCCCGACCGCTTTGGGCAGGGTCGCAGTGAAGACAAGGACGGCAGGTTCCACTACCTCCCCTTCGGAGGAGGCGTACGGACCTGTCTGGGCAAGCACCTGGCCAAGCTCTTCCTCAAAGCTCTGGCCATTGAGTTGGCCAGCACCAGCCGTTTCGAGCTTGCCACCAGGACTTTCCCCAAAATCACCCTGGTGCCTGTGGTCCACCCAGTTGACGGACTCAAGGTCAAATTTTTTGGACTGGATTCCAACCAGAATGAGATCCTGACAGGGACAGATGCCATGTTGGGGGCAACAGTGTAAAGGCCACGCCGATGGTGTGAGGGATGGGCGGCCAGGG